TGACTAAAACTAATAATAAACAAACAAATATATCGAAAATGTTATTATATACTTTAATTTAATTTAACATTCTAATTTACTATATACCACTTATTCAATTGACATTTATAATTCTATTAAATTATTAATCAAAATTTATTAAAAAATTTAGAATTAAGAATTCTAATAGAAATGAAATATTTAAGGTGTAATAAGGATAATTAAACTTATTTCAAATATAAATTTTTTTTTGTTTAGAAGATGAAGGATGTGAATAATATAAATCCGAAAAATTTACTAAAATGGGAAATATTTAAAGCTTTCCTTAATCTTTCATAATATGGGTAACCAGGGATTTAGCTTTATTGATTATGAGATGAATGTTGTAGAATTTTAGTAATTGTATAATGGATGGTGAGATGTTTTTACCTCATTAAACCTTGAGCATATTAAACTTAGGGTGGGTAAATATATTATTCATAAGATTTATCAACATGTTGATGAATAATAATGAAGACTTTATGATAAAAATGTGATGAAGATTATTGTGTTTTTATATCAGAAGGCATAAAGAATGATTTGGATAGATGATACACATTAAAAGTAGGCAAAAAAAAGTAAAAGATTTAATTAATTCTTTTATCGTCAGATCGGTTTTAAGATAATGTTTGGAATACATAATAATTATAGATAAAATTGATCTTTGAATTCCATAGAGATTTTTTCAAATTACTTATTCCACCATATGCCTTGTGATTTGGTTGAATTAAAGAGTTTAATGCTTAGTTTGGCATGGTCTAGACTTTATTGGATCTTATTACAACCAAAAGGATAATAAATAGTGTAAAATTTAAGAAAAAAATGATAGAAAATGTGGTAACCTTATATCAGGCCATAAACTATCATACATATGGCTAATACAAGAATACAAGGGAACCCTATGAATACCCAAGAACGCCTTTGATAAATTTGTGAAATGATCAAAAATTAGGAAATATTAACCAAGACAAGATTAAATACTTTGAAATTGAGAGAGTACTGTATAGAGATGTTGATCTCAATAAGATAGAAAATAAGAATAAGTGCCAAGAACCAAAATATTACGAATGTAATGAAAAATTATCTAAAATATAATGGATATGGAAAGAAGATCTATGAGATGATATCATAAATTCATTTAAGCTCAATTTTTGAAGTTTTTTAATGCCAATTTGCTCATAGTTTCAAAGAATTTTTTCATAATGAGATTCACTTAGATTAAGTGGGATTTTTGTTAATAGAGATGTTATTTAATTTTTGATTGAAAAACTTATAAGAGGATTAACGACAATGCAATATAAGACTAATGCCCATAAATAAGTTATTTGAATATTTGGGAGAATAGTAATTGAAATCCCTATGTATGATACAAGGAGAAAAATAACCTTATTGCTCATTTAATAAAAAGGTCTTTTATGAGATAGCAAAGAAATATCAATTAATTCTAAATCTTAAGAAGACAGCTTATATTTGTAATGAATTATAGTAAAAGATGGAAATTAGTTGACTTGAAAATTTTATATCTTTTGAGTTAAAATAAATATAAGTTGATAAATTAAATAATGAATCAAAGGCATAAATAAAAAAATGAGAAGCTTATATGTGATTCTATATAAAAAAAAAAATGGCAAGATAAATTTGGTCAGCTGAAATAAAATTGATTATTGTATAGAAAAAAGAAATTGGATAAGGAGCAATGAGAATAAGAAATATGGAGATGTCTATTGTAAAATGGTTAATTAAGTTGATGCAGAAAAAATTCTTTAGAATAAATTAAACATATAGAAAAATAAAGAAAGATGAATCTTAGAAGATGGTAAGATTAAGAAGGAATAAAGGAAATAGAGAAAGGAAGAGAAAATAAAAATTTGGATTTATAAAATGAAAAAAAATTAATTAACAAAATTGCATAGGCCTGACTTTTTATTAAAAATAAATCTGATCAGAAGTAGAGAATATGAGCCTATTCTAGACGAAAACCCAGCAATAGCCTAGTTGTGAAACTTGAAAACCCTCAAATATAGCATGATGCTCTATGAGGTACAGTGGGCTAAACTTGTATTATGATCAGATTATCAACTAGTTTGTATGTGTATTCCTTTCCTATTTTTTGAAGTACTTCTCAAATTGTTTCTCAAAGAACAATCTTAAAATTATTTTCATAAATAAATCTGACAAAACACAATTTTTAAATTCTTATAATACTATCCATAAAAAATCAAATTATATTGCTTGATAAGCCTATTTTAAGAAGACTTCAAAATATATAATTTGATTTCTTGTTTGCTTATCTTTTAGTAATATTTTTACAATATTTAGAATGATTGGTATTTTATATGCTCTGATACATTTATGAAACATATTTTTGAATTTTCTTTTGATATAAAACAATCATTAAATATAATTTTTTCCTTTAATCCTCTTTCTATATACAATATTTCTAATTAGCCAATATTAGAATTTTGATGCTAAAAAGATATTTATAAACTTTTGTGAATAGTATTTAAATTAAATGAAAATCAAATTTTTTTTTCTTAATATATTTACTATTTAGCCTGAAAACTTCTGATTATAAATAAAACTACAAAATACAAACCACGTTTAAAAGTCTTCTTAATTGTTTATTATTTATATTCTCATAAATTTTGAAAAAGACACCAATAGTGACTCATCTCATTGAATAGTATATTTAAAAAAAGAGTGTTGTTGTAATTAAATTTTTATTTTCCTACCTTCTTATTTTGAATTATTGTTTATTATAATATAAATTCAAAGAGTCTAAAACAAAAGCTATAAATTTTTTGGTTAATGTAAACAACTTATTATCCTATTTATAATAAAGTTGCAAAACATAACTCAACAACTAATTTCTAATCATTCAAATATCAAAATTTTATGTATGAAACTGAATTTATAAGAGAGAAATTAAAAAATACAAAAAGAAAAATTAAAACACATCAACATGATGGAAAAAAATTATCAAATTTTCACAAAGATCCTTTTAAACTCGTCTTTTAAAACTCATAAGTAGTTTAATCTATAAACTGTACCTTAAGTTCACTTGGTTTGATGGATGATTTTTGAATAGTTAAATCATTCAAATTTTCATAACCATCTTAAGGAAAATAAATACAGATATAGGGAAAATAATATATTCGTAATAAGAAGAATTATTATACCAACAGAAGAGAAGCTACATATTAGAAGATGAAAAAATTAAATATAAATTATTCTAATATAATTGAGCGATGTTATTATTGTCTATGACTCTCTAAAATGGTTTCAATAATAATAATTAACATTATCTGTTTCAATATTTTATTAAAATAAGTAGATTCTCTTGATTGTTGATACTTATAATCTTTATATAATCAAATTTCAGAATACTAAACAATTAATATTAAATTTATAATAGATAACATTAAGTTTCAAATTCATTTTGAATTTATGAGTAAAGATGAAAATATTTAATGATATCGGACTTAAAACCATTTTAAATTGATATTTTAGAATTAAATAAATTTCATTGAATGAAATATCAATATTATAAAAGCATTTCATAATTTATTAAATTTACAATAGAAAAGTTAATAAATTATCAATTTAATGTAATTTATAGCATTTTAAATAACGTAGGAAAAGTTCTAACATTTTTTGATTACTTTTTCTTTGAAATCTAATGAATTCATAATGCCCTTGTAATAAAATGTAAGATTGATAGTAAAGAATATAAAATACATCTTATTAAATAAAAATATATATTATTTTATTATATTGTTATTAAATATAAGTAAGAAAGTCGATAAGGGGGATATTTGTATGGAAGAATATATTCTCTAATAATTAACACTTAAGATAAATCACAAGAAATTATATTTAAGTTAGTTAGTGAATGCAAAATAACGCCTATTTTAAGCTTTTACTTGGAAGGAATTTTAATATCTTATCTTACAAATTCATTTCAAAAACAATTTGCTACTAATTTTATAGATATTAGTGTCTATTTTCAAGAAGAATTAGTTTAAAGTCTTATATTTTGCTTTAACTGGGTAATGAGATAGTATCAGCTACCTAAAGCGAAGCTCTGAACTAAACCCAGATGGTTTAGCACATTCTAACAATTTGCTCTTATTCTAAAAATCAATTACAAACTTATCAAATGTAATACTTTAGAACTTTTTGTTTGGTTATCTATTGGAAAAAAATAACAAATGAATCTCTAACTTTCAATCCATTTTAAATTATTACAATTATTAAGGACTGATGCAAATTTGTTCAAATCTTTTGTTTATTGTTAATAATTACAAGACAGAAAAATAATTGATTAACACTAAATCATAAACAATTTTTCATCTAATTTATTTTATTATTTGCAATATTACTTTATATTCTATATTCTTTATTCCTCAATGTTTGTCTTCATACTATTGATTTTTCAACAGGCAAAAAATTCTCAATCACAGGCAACTTCAAACCTTTACAAAGTCTGGTCTTCAAAAAAATAAGATTCTTTTCAATTTGTAATATAAAAATAAAAGTTAGAGTAATAAGAATTCAATAATTCTTTTCACAAAAAGAAAATGTATGATCTTCATGAGTAGAACGAAGATCTCTCTCAGATTTTCGCTTAAGTTCAAGGTGTGGATAAAATAATATACTCTTTTATAATTTAGATACAAAAAAACAGAATACTAAAGATTGGATTGGATTTCCTTCAGATAATGAAAATCTATGATATCTAGAAGACAAGATTTCACAAAGAGAGGATTCAACAGAAGAAGAAAAAGAATAAAGGATGGATGTTATGAGAAATAACATCCAACTAATTCTTAATACCATTTGAAAAATTAAAGATCATGATTTTAATAAATAAGACTATTCTGATTAATGATATTTTGAACAGAGACAGGATCTAATAAAATGTATAAGAGAATAAAAGTAGATCATCAGATTTCTGAAATTCTTAGTTCCACTCACAGCCTATGATGAAAATTTAATACAATGTGGATCAAACTCACTAAAATTTCTTAGTTAGTATGAAAGTCGATATTAGAAATTAAAATTTTGAAAACATCAGAATTAAGAATACTTCTTTATTGGGAGCTAATTTTGTTAGATGAAACTTAAGTGGATCATAAGTTGATAATGTAGACGTAAATGGAATGAATTTAATTGGAACTTTATTGCTTAATTGGGTAAGATAAATAAATTAGATGGCATATTGATAGTGTTTATTCAGTATGCCTCTCTCCTGATGGATTTATATTAACATCTGGCTGTAATAAAAAAAAATTTTTTATGGGATGTTAAGACAGGACAATTTACATTAGCATCTGGTAGTAATGATAACACTATTCGTTTATGGGATGTTAAGACAGGATAGTAAAAGATCAAATTGGATGGTCATAGGAATTCAGTCAAACTTTCACCTGACGATACTATATTAGCATATGGTAGTAGTGATAACTCTATCCGTTTTTGGGATGGAAAATCAGGAAAAGAAATTCAATCTTAGGATAAAAATTATAAAGATATATTTTATTAAGACTAATCCGGTTTGTAAATAATAATAATTAAGTAAATCTATCATATAATATCCTAGATGTGTTATAAAAGAATGTTGTGTTAATTAAGTTTTCTTTAAGTAAATTATATCAATCTTTATTTTTATTAGTTCATTCAATTTAATGTTTTGAGTTTGGATTATTAATTTAAAATAGTATCATTTGATATTAATTGATAACCTTTTTATGATATTAAATAATTAATTCCTATAAATGACTGAAAAGTAATAACACTTAAAAAAATACTTCCTTATCTAGCTTAAGAAGTGAAGATGAAGAGTGAATAAAGAGAAAATTAAAAAAAATAATTAGAAATTTATTGTAATGATAATTATAATATTGTAAATGAATAATCATGCTCACTTTTACTATAAGTCTTCTAAAAAGCAACTTCCTTTTTTTTTGAATAATGTCTTTAAATCAATACCTGAATGGATAATAAAGTCTCCTTTCAAAATTAGTGCTCCTTATGCTTAAAATATTGTCTATTAGGAAATAAGGAGTGTAGTGATGTAATTGGAGGCTAAAAATATGATAGGAGATTAATACTACCTTCTGAAATATGGCTATGTTATTGGAGTGGAATCTTAAATAATGCAAGAAGATCTTTGTAGTTTTTATCTGAGGATTTAATTTCTAACCCTGTTTTGACATCCCATAGATGGATAGACTTATCATCACTACCAGAGGCTAATGTATTTCCATCAGGAGATAAACAGACTGAGTAGACAATACTAGTATGACCATCTAATTTGGCTTTTTATTATCCTGTTTTGACATCCCATAAACGGATAGACTTATCTACACTACCAGAAGCTAATGTATTTCCATCAGGAGAGAAACAAACTGAGTAGACCTCATAACTATGACCATCTAATTTTGCTTTTTATTATCCTGTTTTGACATCCCTTAGACAGATAGAGTTATCACTACAAGAAGCTAATGTATTTCCATCAGGAGAGAAACAGACTGATTTAACATAACTATGATAACCATCTAATTTGGCTTTTTATTATCCTGTTTTGACATCCCATAGACGTATAGAGAAATCCCAAACACCTGAAGCTAATGTATTTCCATCAGGAGAGAAACAAACTGAGTAGACGCAATCATACTGACCATATAATTAGGCTTTTTATTATCCTGTTTTGACATCCCATAGACGGATAGAGTTATCAAAACCACCAGAAGCTAATGTATTTCCATCAGGAGAGAAGCATACTGACAATATACCACGAGTATGACCATCTAATTTGGCTTTTTGTTATTCTGTTTTGATATCCCATAGACGGATAGACTTATCCTCACTACCTGATGCTAATGTAGTTCCATCAGGAGAGAAACAAACTGAGTTGATACGACCATAATAACCTTCTAATTTGGCTTTTTATTATCCTGTTTTGACATCCCATAAACGGATGGACTTATCACCACTACCAGAAGCTAATGTATTTCCATCAGGAGAGAAACAGACTGACGTTACCCAATGATCATGACCATCTAATTTGGTTTTTTATTATCCTGTTTTGACATCCCATAGACGGATAGAGTTATCATAACTACCAGAAGCTAATGTATTTCCATCAGGAGAGAAACAGACTGAGTAGACATAATGAGTATGACCATCTAATTTGGCTTTTTATTATCCTGTTTTGACATCCCATAGACGGATAGACTTATCTACACTACCAGAAGCTAATGTATTTCCATCAGGAGAGAAACAGACTGACAATATACCACTAGTATGACCATCTAATTTGGCTTTTTATTATCCTGTTTTGACATCCCATAGACGGATAGACTTATCATAACTACCAGAAGCTAATGTATTTCCATCTGGAGAGAAACAGACTGATCTAACTTAATCACTATGACCATCTAATTAATTTAATTCCGGAATTCTTAAGTTTTTCCAGTTACAATTCAATAATACCGCTCCATTTAAGTTCAATCCGCCTATATATACATTGTCAAATAAGGATCCACTAAAATTACACCTAAAAAAATTAGATCCTTCTAACGAAGTATTTTAGATTTTTATGTTTTCAAAATTTTTGCTTCTAAGGTCCACCTTCATCTAAACTAATAAATATAATGAATTCGACCCACATTGAATTACAGAGTTATCTATTGATGTGAGGTGAACTAAAAATTACAAAAATTTGATGATCTAACTATAAACTTTTATTCTTGTAATTAGAAACTTTATATAAGTATAATTTTTTTCCTAAGAATAGTCTTTTTTATTAAAGTTATGATTTTTTAATTTATTTAGGACATCAGAAATTAGTTTCATGTACTTATTAATATCATACAATTTCTTTTCATGTGTCATATTCTCTCCTTGTTGTAAGAATGATTATTATAAATGGCTAAGATTTTCCTCACCTGAAAGATATCCAATGCAATCTATTACTTTTTCCTTTCTTAATATTTCTAATATGTCACCAAATATTTGTTCATCTATATCTTTAACATAAGCCAAAATGTCAAGTAGAGTTTCTTTCCACTATATATTCCAATACATTTTCTTTATTATTTTTAATATTGAATTTCTATTACCTTAGCTTTAATTTATATACTTCAAAATCGATAAAAGTATCTTGTGCATTTCTGTAAAATAGAAGTTAGGACTTTGTGTAGATTTGGAATTGATTGAAGTAGATGTTAATTATGCTATTGAGAATTCATTTCAATATCTGCATCACTTGATTTTTAATAATATAGAATATAAATATTTCATTTGAATATTTTAATTTATACAACAATTGAGTTATATGAATAATTCATTAATTTTTCTAGTTTATCTTTAATTTTTCAGCCACATGTCTTAAGATTGAAATATGTATACTATTGCAATAGGATTGTTGGATTTATT